GAACCTCGAAATATATTTTTTTTTTTAAATTCAGGCTCCTTTATAAAAGGCATATAACTCCGATGGATCTTGAAAAATATATTTTTAATTACCCACGCTTTTAGTCCCGACGGACTTTGGAAAACATTTTTTTTAAATTCTGACTCCTTTATAAAAGGCATATAACTCCGATGGATCTTGAAAAATTTATTTTTAATAACCCACGCTTATAGTCCCGGCGGACCTTGGAAAACATTTTTTTGTAAAAAATCCACGCCTATAGTCCCGAAGGACTTTGGAAAACATTTTTTTTTGTAAAAAATCCACGCCTATAGTCCCGACGGACTTTGGAAAACATTTGTTTTTGTAAAAAATCCACGCCTATAGCTCCGATGGACACTTAAATATATTTTTTTCAACCCACACTTATAGATCCTATGGATCTGGATTATTTAAATGCGCTTTTCAAAATCCAAAGGTCTCTGAAAAATATTAAAAATATATTTTAAAAATACTTCCTTTAGGTCTCCAATAGATAAACCAGTTTTTTCAAGTCTCATTAAGGTTCTCTATACATACATAGAAGACCTGAAGAGAATAGAAGAGATGGGGTGGGTAGAGGGTCGCTGAAAAATTATTTTTATTTAAGTCCTCCAAAGACAGAGGATATAGAGAAAATAGAGAGAAAACCTCCAATTACGGTCTATAGATATAAAATACCTCTTTCAGATCCTCTAATTATATAAATGAGTCGTATCTGAACAAATTATTTTCGATATTCTATTGAAAGAAGATATCATTCAGGTTTTCATACAATAAAATACCTTCTAAAAGCTTTCTTTAAATAGAGGATCTACTACTGGTTTTCCGGAGATTAAAAAGATTAATTTCCTTTTAGGTGTCTATAGGGTTCCTAGAGGACCTTCTTCATGTCTCTCATATTCCATATTCAAGTCTTCTATAGATAAATTGCTTGATTCAGGGCTTTAGATAGTAGACCCCCATAATACCTTCCAGAGAAAAATAAATCATACGGACCTTCTGATCCTATGAGTATAAATGACCCGTAGCTAAACAAATCCCTTCAAATTTTCTATGGGAAAAAGACCTGTTTCAGGGCTATAATATATCGAATACCTCCTACAAGTCTTGTATTGATGGTTGACCTCCCACTCGTCTTCTGGAGAATTTGTTTAGACCAAAAATATGCAAACAGAAAACTATTTTTTTTTAATTTAATTAAAAATTTATTAAAAAATTAAAAACTCCAACGAAAATATGTTCTGCAAAAAAATTCGATATTTTTTGTATTTTAATATTTTTTATGGATTTAAAAATTATTCATATTTTTTGGCACCGAAAAAATTAACCCAGATATATTTCTCTACGAAATATAGATCAGTCGCCAAAAATGCCAATGTCTTCCTTTATAATAATTAAAAAAATATATATTTTCATTATCTTCGAACGACATTTGACTATAGAGTCAACAATTTGTGATAGATGTTTAATAGAGAGAGAGAATGTGTATCGGAGTTATTTTTGTCAGTTATAAATAGGTGAATTTTTATACTTCTATTCAAATATCGTTTTATTCCATAGAAACATATGGGATTGTAGGTGTATATGTGTGTGAAATATAAAGAGCGAACGTGTGTTTATGGCAATTTGGCGGCATAGGTGGGAAAATTTTTTGTGAGGGTGTGACGCATATGGGGCTAATCGATAAATGGGTTTGGACTAAGGTTTCTTGTTTTTGTTTTTTGTAATATATTAATATATATATAGTTGTATGTATATAAATCTCTAAAATTTTTTATCTGTGGTATACAATAGATTTTCTTCTTTCTATAATTACTTTTGTTGTTTTCCGTTTATTTGTTTGTTTTTTTTTTTGGGTTTTAATAGATATTTATTGAAACAAAAAGGGGTTGGAAAAATATTGAATTTTTGTAGGTATTGTTTTTCTAAAGAGAACAAGTTATTCCAAGACTAAAGTGATAGAGAAAGATTTTTCAACGGCAGAAATATTTAATATCAGATATTTTTAAAAGTGGACTCATAATGATAAATTATAATATTAGAATCCCAAATACACAATTCGGTTAAAAATCGTGCCAAAATTCTCGAAGAATCCGATATTTTGGAGGTACTGTTATAAGGAAGGTTATAAAAATCCCTTCAGAGAATAAAATTAGGCGCGGATAGCTTCCTGTTCCTCTATACTGAGAGTTATACTATCGGGTTTAATGAGTGGTAGTGCTACCAGCTTGATATAGGTTTGATGTTGATGCGAACTTTCGGATTTCCATGTCATTACAAAATATTTTTTTAATTAAAAAAAAGGAATATTTTCAAGAATTTCCAAGGTCCCTAAGTCATTTAAAATTATTTTTAAAAATTTCATTCATTCCTGTCCAAGCCACTAGAAAAAAAATATATATATTTTTAAATTATTCGGGTTAACCTAAGGCAGAAAAACACACATTTTCAAAAATTTCCAAAATCTTCAAGATATTACAAAAATATTATTAAAAATAACCCCCAGCCCCTGTCCAATCCATATTTTTTCCATTTTCGATGCCAATCCATGATCCTGTCTAAGTCATTCATGGGGTATTTAGTGCACAATTTACATTAAAACGGACGAAAATATATATGGGAACTAAATATAAATCTGAACCGATTTTCACGAAACTTAACACACATTATTCGGGATCTAATTCAGAACTCTATGCCAAATTTCAAGTAAATCGAAAAATATGAAGGAACTTTGATGCATCATTTACCATAAATATATATTGGATCTATTTCTAAATCAGACCCGATTTTTGCGAAACTTGATACACATCATTCTAGACACAATTCAGTACACTAAGCAAAATTTCGTGCACCATTTACATAAAATCGGACAAAGCTATATATGGGAGCTATATCTAAATCTGAACGGATTTTCACGAAACTTAGCACACATCATTTTGGACCTAATTCATTATCCTATGACGAATTTCGTGTAAATCGAAAGATATATAGGATCTTTGGAGCTCCATTTACCTTAAATCGGATGAAAATATATACGGCAGCTATATCTAAATCTGAAGCGATTTTCTTCAATTTCAATAGGGTTCGTCCTTGGGCCAAATAAAAGACTTGTGCCAAATTCCATCCAATTCGGATCATAAATGCGACCTGTACTTTTTTCGCAAAAAAAAAAACCTGGACGGACGGACATGCATAAATCGACTCAGAAAGTGATTCTATGCATATTCTCAAAAGGAACCATGGATCTATCTCGATTCCTTTTGCCTATTACAAACATATGCACAAAACCATAATACCCTGCACCACAGTGTGGTGAAAGGTATAATAATATTTTCCGCATATCAAATAATTACAAAAAAAGTATAAAATCCTGCCTGTCCAATATTTAAAAAAATATATAGCAACATCCATACCTGTCTATATCGTTAAAAAAATATTTCTTACAATTAAATTAAATTAAAAAATATATTTTCAAAAATTTCCAAAATTAAAAAAAAATATTTTTGGAATATCTATGCCTGTCCAAGTCATCAAAAAATAATTTCTGGTAAATACGATCAAAACCCTCAAAATACTGAAAATAGGAGGTACCGTTATGTGGGGGCTACCAGAAAAAGTGGACCTATATTTATAATTTTTTGTGAAGACATTTAGTACCCAATTTAAAATTATTCCAGTCACTTTAATAATTTTTTTTAATTCCCAACCTCTCCAGTCATTTTTACAAAAATGAACAAAAATTATTTTTATTTATAATTATATATCCATGAGATATCCATGTCATTAAAAAATACTTTTTTAAATCCATGCCTGTCCAGGTCATTGAAAAAAAAAATATTTTAAAAAATTTCAAAAAAAAAGATTGTTGCCTGTCCAGGTCATTTAAAATAATATATTCTTACGTTTTTCATAAAAATACAAATATTTTCAAAATTGTAAACCTTTACCAAATTAAAACGGAACATATTTAAAATAAAAATATTAAAAAATCTCCACACCACCCAAATATTTGCGATCGGTTTCAATGAGTACAGGTTTTCGTGCTGGGTCTAGTATAAAGGTGCCATTGGTTTGTGTTGCCGGCTTATTTATAAGAGCCTTTGGATTCGAAAGGATTACTGTCGCAGTGGCGAAAATTTCTTGAGAGTTATTAAATATGGATATTTTTATAAAGAAATTAAATTTTTCTATAGAAAAAAATAAAATTGTAACAACATTTCTTTGGAAAAAAAATTTTCAAAAATTTTTCTATAGAGAAAACATTGAAATCTATAAAGATTTTTTTTTAATTTAATACCTAAAAAAATTCAATATATTTTTTTTTGGTTTTTCTTTATAGGATATTTTGGTTTGTTGTTGGTATTTGATTTAATTTTTTTCCGGTTACGTTTCCGGTTGTTTGTTTTTATTTTTCATTCATTTATTTATCGTATTACAAATATGTGAGAGTGTGTATGTGTTTGGTTAATAAGGTGTGTGTGTTGGATTTTTTCTTCTTTATTTTTTTTTTGCGTACATTTTGTTTTGGATTGGCGTGAGTGATATGGCTTTTGTTGTTGTTTCCTAAGTTCCATGTGTTTCGTTTCATTCATTTGTTTTAAGGTCGGAGTTGAGTTTTGTTGTTGTTGTTGGTTTTCGTGTGTGTGTGTGGTTTTTGTTTCAGTGAAATGTCTTTGATCAATTATTGTGTTCCATTTATTTTTTGCTTTGGTTTTTTTTTTCATTTTCTTTCTAAATAGTTTTTTGTTTTTGCTTTTGCCCTCAATTCTTTTAATAGTTTCGTGATTTTTATCAAATCCATATTTCAATCCCCATTTTTTCCCTTGTTGTTGTTTTTCGTTTGTTTGTTTTTTTGTTATTGTATTCTCTAAAAACTACTAATTTGGCTGGTTTTTCTGTTACATTTCAATAGTTTGTTGTTGTGGTTTGTGTTTTATCTTCTCCACTCCCTTCTTCCGTTTCTCCTCCTCCTGCCCACCTTACTTTTCAAATATCAATTCACCATTTAGAAATGGATTCAAATAGGATTTTGTTTCATAACCCGACACCGATGGTGCTGTTATGCGTTTTCTCGCCAATGCCTTGGTTCGCTTTTCCACATGGCCATGTTGGTGGCCATGCGTGTGATAGGGTCGCTTATCCTCCTTGGAGTTTAAAATCAATGGGATGGGTATCGAGGTATAGACGGGTTCCTGTAAAATCGATGTGGGTGGATTGAGGGCGGCCTCTTTGTATTTCTCCTCGGTTACCTTTTCAACTTCTACTTCTCCTCCTCCTCCTCCAAGACCTTCTTCTAGCATTTCCTTTTTCTGATGATTTCTCTGATTGCGACGATGATGTTGATAATGTTTACGATGTGATTTACGTTTGCCATAGATGACGGGTGCCGTGTCTAAAATGGGTAGGGTTTCAACGGGTCTTAAATCTACCGCCTCCTGCTCCTCAATCCCTAGGGGTATGCGATCCGGTTCGATAAGAGGCGGTGCTATAGGTTGTCGTGCGGGATCCAACAAAAATGTGCCATTGGTTGGTGTTACCGGTTTATTGATACGATCCTTCGGATTCGATTGGATTATTGTCGCTGTGGCGAAAATCTCCTGAAATTTATTACCAGCTGCCATCTGCTGCAGCTGTATGTGTTGCTTTTGTAGAAATTGTTGGCGCTGCTGTTGCAGCTGATTGAGAATGCGATACTGTTCGAGGATGTGGCGGTAGAATTGTTCGGCGGTAACTTCAGATGAATTGATGAGGCGAATGGCAATTTTTTCGGGTATCACAATTTTGTCTGGAAGAAAAACAGAAACAATGAACAAGAAATTAATTGAAAAGAGATCTAAAAGCGGATCTGGATAACATAAATAAATAAAAACAAGGGATATCTATTCAGGACATTTTATAAAACTCTTAAAAATTAATTTATAGAAAACAATTCTTCTCCGTAATAGGAGTCCTTAAATAGAGTCTCACTGAAAAAATATTCTTTAAAAAATCCACGCCTTATATAGGCCTTGAAAAAATATTCTTTAAAAAATCCACGCCTTATATAGGCCTTGAAAAAATATTCTTTAAAAAATCCACGCCTTATATAGGCCTTGAAAAAATATTCTTTAAAAAATCTACGCATTATATAGGCCTTGAAAAAATATTCTTTAAAAAATCCACGCCTTATTTAGACCTTGAAAAAATATTCTTTAAAAAATCTACGCCTTATATAGGCCTTGTAAAAATATTCTTTAAAAAATCCACGCCTTATATAGGCCTTGAAAAAATATTCTTTAAAAAATCCACGCCTTATGTAGGCCTTCAAAAAATATTCTTTAAAAAATCCACGCCTTATGTAGTCCTTGAAAAAATATTCTTTAAAAAATCCGCGCCTTATGTAGGCCTTGAAAAAATATTCTTTAAAAAATCCACGCCTTATGTAGTCCTTGAAAAAATATTCTTTAAAAAATCCGCGCCTTATGTAGGCCTTGAAAAAATATTCTTTAAAAAATCCACGCCTTATATAGGCCTTGAAAAAATATTCTTTAAAAAATCCACGCCTCTATAAGGTCTGGAAAAATATTCTTTAAAAAATCCACGCCTTATATAGGCCTTGAAAAAATATTCTTTAAAAAATCCACGCCTTATATAGGCCTTGAAAAAATATTCTTTAAAAAATCCTCGCCTTATATAGAGGCTTTGAGAAAATGCTTTTTAAAAAATCCACGCCTTATATAGAGGCTTTGAAAAAATCCTCGCCTTATATAGGCCTTGAAAAAATATTCTTTAAAAAATCCACGCCTTATATAGGCCTTGAAAAAATATTCTTTAAAAAATCCACGCCTTATATAGGCCTTGAAAAAATATTCTTTAAAAAATCCACGCCTCTATAAGGTCTGGAAAAATATTCTTTGAAAAATCCGCGCTTTGTATAGGTCTGTAAAAAATATTCTTTAAAAGTCTAGCCTTTACAGAAATAATTTTTCTTCGTGCCACTGTCATTTAACTCAATCAAAATTAATGAAATTCTGTCCAGTTTGTGGTTGTTTTTTTTGTTTCCTTTTTTTTGGTTATGGTGAATCGTGATTTTCATTATTATTTTGTGTAAATTCCATATAACTCATACGCTCCAGTTGGTTGGTAGTCGTCAGTCACTGTAACTGACTACATAACATAAATTAATCATACGCTCCCCACTCAACCCACACTGGCTCACTTCGATTCACAACAGTGAGATGGCGTGAGCATTTGGCATTCCAAAATATTAAGTATACGTAATACAAGGGCTTTCGAAAGAACAAAAAACAAAACAAACGAAATCACTCCAAAATTATTACTTTCGCAAAAAATACGACAAAAACAAGAAACAATAACAACTGTTCTCAGCCAAAGTAAATAAAAAACCATGACCTACAAAAATCAGAGAAACCACAACAAATATTTCACCTACACCTGTCAAAAACAGCAACACCAACACAAAAAACAGCAAAAGGTAATGACAATGCCATTGGAAAGAGAGCGGCATCAATGAGTGTGTGTGGGCGAGAGAGAGAGAAAGACAGAGATGAAGAGAATGTTAGAATTTAGAATGCAGAAAAAACGGAAATTATAACGAAATGCATTTTTTAGACACACTAACACATGCAGCCAGTGCTCAGCCTGATATTAAGGCAGGCAGGCAAGCAGGCTGACAGGCATGCAGACCAACAACAGCAACAATTAACCTTGTACTGCAACAACAACAAAAACACCGACAATATTCATACTGGGTACCTTGACAAAATATTTACTGTTCATATTAAACGGAAAATCTAAACAACCATCAACCCCTCTCTTTACACCTTCTTCACCCCTTGGCTCAGTTCAGAAAGGCTGGCAGTTAGTCTGGCTGCCAGTCAGTGGGAAAAAAGGCTTGTTTTTCTTGATTTCCACGGTGATGATGTTGACGTTGTCAATGGCGATGACGATGTTGGTGACGCCGACCCAGCCAAAATCAACAACCAGAACAACAACAACAAATTGCCAGAAATTCATCAGGCACAAAAAAGTAAACAGATGTTAAGGTGATAAAATGGAAGAAGACCTTAAATAAATGTCAAGAAACCCCTGTAACAGCGACACCCACAAGAACCACACCGCCCCAAAAACCTACCTTTATAATGGCCACAATTTAAAACCTAGAAACACCAAACAAAAACAACAGCAACAACAAACACCACCATCCTCATCATCACCACGGTTCGGAAAAAAATCAGACAAGAGAAACTAGAACATCAACTTTGCACTCGTTACTCTAAAAGCCAACAACAACTCAAACCTGACAAAAAATGGCAACAACTAAGGCAACGATGACAACTAGCAAAGGTGGAGACGACCCGGGTATGAAGTCTAGGGGGGGTGGTGAAGAAAAAAACTTTCCATTGAAAAGTGTGCTAAAAACTGATTATATTCATTATGGGGAAAAAATTGTTAACAAATTTATAGGATTTTTGACCTGCATTTAAAGAGGGGAGAGTAAAAAATCTATACGAAGGAGAAAGAGGGTGAGGTGTGAGTAATCATTACATAGATGAATGAAAATATGCAGGTCACAGCCACAAACATACATAACACTTTAAAAAAGTTAAAGGGTTGCCGAATCAATAAAATATTTCCATTGAGAATAAGAAGTTAAAAAATTTAAGGTGTAGATTTTTTAAATAACACTTAAAGAGGCGTGGATTTGTATTTGAAGAATATTTTCCAGGCCTTGTAGAGGCGTGGATTTTTTGAAGAATATTTTTCCAGACCTTATAACGGTGTGTTTTTTAAAAGAATATTTTTTCCAGACCTCATAGCGGTGTGGTTTTTTTAAAGAATATATTTCAAGGCCTTACAGAGGCGCGGATTTTTTAAATATTTTTTCCAGTATGGTTTTTTTTAAAGAATATTTTTTCAGACCTCTTAGAGGCGTGGATTTTTCTAAGAATATTTTGTTCAGGTCTTATAAAAGCGTGGATTTTTTGAAGAATATTTTTTCGAGGCCTTATAAAGGTATGGATTTTTATACCCTACACAACTATGTCGTCAGGGTATTATTTATTATACCCTTCACCACTCTGTGGTATAGGGTATTATGTCTTTGTGCATATGTTTGTAACAGGCAAAAGGAAACGAGATAGACACATGGTTCCTTTTGAGAATATGCATAGAATCACTTTCTGAGTCGATTTATGCATGTCCGACCGTTCGTCTGTAGATGTAAACAAAGTACAGGTCGCATTTATGATCCGATTTGGATGAAATTTGGCACAAGTCACTTATTTGGCCCAAGGACGAATCCTATTGAGATTGGGAAAAAACGGTCAACGTCCGATTTAAGGTCAATGGGGCACTAAAGTCCTTATATATATTTTTTTTTTGGATTTGGATGAAATTTGGCGCAGGTCACTTATTTGCCCCAAGGACGAACCCTATTGAAATTGGAAAAAATCGGTTCAGATTTAGATATAGCTCCCATATATATTTTCGCCCGATTTAAGGTAAATGGGGCACCAAAGTCCTTATATATTTTTCGATTTGCACGAAATTTGGCACAGTGTACTGAAAAAGGTCCAGAATGATGTGTGCTAAGTTTCGTAAAAATCGGTTCAGATTTAGATATATCTCCCATATATAGTTTCGTCCGATTTAAGGTAAATGGGACACCAAAGTCCCAATATATCTATCGATTTGCACGAAATTTGGCATACATTACTGAATTAAGTCATGAATGACGTGTGCCAAGTTTCGAGAAAATCGGGTCAGATTTATATATATTGCTGCCATATATATTTTCGTCCGATTTAATGTAAATGGGGCATCAAAGTCCCTATATATCATTCGATTTGCACGAAATTTGTCATAGAGTACTGAATTAGGTCTAGAATGATGTTTCTAAGTTTGGTGAAAAGATCCATAGCTAGGCCGATTTACACAACGTACTGAAGTAATATAAAATAGTCTCTTGTAAGTTCCCCTGAAATCGGTTCAGATATAGATATATAACACTGTTAGGGTACATATGTAGAATATACCCAAAGTGGTGAAGGGTATCATATAGTCGGCCCAGTCCGACTTTACTAATTTCCTTACTGGCCTTCGACGCCTTATAGAGGCGTGGATTTTTTAAAGAATATTTCTTCGTGGCCTTGTAGAGGCGTGGATTTTTTAAAGAATATTTTTTCGTGGCCTTGTAGAGGCGTGGATTTTTTAAAGAATATTTTTCCCAGGCCTTATAGATGCGTGGATTTTTTTAATAATATTTTTTCCAGGCCTTATAGAGGCGTGGAGTTTTTAAAGAATATTTTTTCCAGACCTTATAGAGGCGTGGAGTTTTTAAAGATTATTTTTCCAGGCCTTGTAGAGGCGTGGATTTTTTAAAGATTATATTCTCCAGGCCTTATAGAGGAGTGGATTTTTTAAATAATATATTTTCCAAGTCTTATAGAGGCGTTGCTTTTTAAAAAAATATATATTTTTTAGGCCTTGTATAGATCTGGCTTTCATAAAGAATAGTTTTTTAGGCCTTATAGAGATCTGGCTTTCTTAAAGAATATTTTTTCAGGCCTTATAGAGGTGTGGCTTTCTTAAAGAATATTTTACCTATGATTGTCCTAAAAATGTTCTTTGTAGAAAATATTCAAAGTAGCCCCATTTGGAACAAAATATGTTTTAACTGGCAACTCTATTCTTACATCATAAATGACAAAAGGAAGGAAGGAAACCTGGGGAGGACGGCAGGCTTGTGTAGTAATAAGTCGATTTGTAGTCAATGCTATATTT